TTTAGGATCCCATCATAAGCACAGAGCTCTTACCCCCTTTTAACCCCAGGGCCCTGACCCATCAAATCCCAAGCCTTAAACACTAAACCCTAAACCCCTAAACCCCTACACCCCTACACCCCCAAACCCCTAAACCCCTAAACCCCTAAACCCCCTGAACCCCTAGAAAACACTTACCCAGGCTATGGCGCGGGCAAGGCCATCCTGGCCCATGGCTCGCTGTTGACGTTCTGTTGGATGGCTGGAGCACTTAGCACTGGTGCGTATGGCATAGACTCCATGACAAGGACCACCATTTGGGTGGTTGTCAAATTTATGGTCCCTTTAGGGTTTGGGGTTTAGGGCGTATGGCATAGACTCCATGACAAGGACCACCATAGTTTAGGGGTTGGGGTTTAGGGTTTAGGGTTTAGTGGTTTAAAGTTCAGGTGTAGTCTAAACCGCTTAAGGGGGGTTTGGGTGGTTGTCAAAATTATGGTCCCTTTGGTTTAGGGTTTAGGGTTTAGGGCGTATGGCATAGACTCCATGACAAAGGACCACAATTTGAGTGGCAGTCTAAGCCCCTTAAGGGGGGGTTTTATGTGGGGGAGTGTATAGGGGAGTAGTACACGGCGTTACTAAGGGGGATACTCGGAGTTTAGATTATAGCTCATTTCATAAGGAGAGGCAATTCTGTAAAGGAAGAAGCAGGTAGTTTGTACCCTATATCCTGGATAATGGTTTGATTTTCCACTATCCCTATATAACCCTTTCTAGTCCACCCCGTGTAAAGGATGTTCAGAATCTGCCTTCTTCAAGGAGAGATCTGGCCAAGACTTTGAAGCGCATTTGGACAGCTGGAGCTGTGGCGGCCGTGCTTCTAGCAGGCTGCACATCTTTGTTCTTTTTCCTTACAGAGCCCGCTGAAACCTACGTGACGGCCTTCGATGCTGCGAGAAAGCTGCATGATGAAGCGATTAGCTGCAGGTCGATTTAAGTAGAGGCTCTGAAACTTACCGGTCGCAAGCAGCATGTCCAGAGTGCGAGCTTTGACAGTCACAGCTTGAGCGGTCAACAACGAAATGCACAAGCGCTCAATGTCAAAGGCATAAACGTCAACAGCAGCAACGTTACAAACAAGTTCCACACGAGCTTGTGCAAAGTCAGGCCCAGATTCAAGAGATTTCTTTGACTTGAAAGTGCCTTGTACGGAAGAGATGCATGGCCCTTTTTTTGAGGCCTCCGCACGGATGAATATAATTAACCCCAATGTATACCCTATTATATTACAGTAGCTTCCATTTTCTTTTCCAATGCCCCTAGATAACCCCAATATAATTTCTATATTAGTTACTGTCTGTGATGACACCCGATATTCAGTAGGAGCGCAGACCTGGCATTCGGGTTCTGGCTTGCTCAAAATGCAAATATGCAGTGCTTTCTGTCTGAGGTTTCAGAAGAGCTTTTTTGACCTCTTCCTGGATGTGGAGCTGGGCGCGGCATGTATCACAACCTGGCGCTTGTACTACGCCGGTTACATTTGAAACAGCACTTGAATTCTGACGTTCCGAGAAGGGCTAAACGCTGAGCTATGTTCCAATATAACCATAATATAACCCCAATATAACCCCTATACAACCCCAACATAACCCTATATAACCCCAACTATATCCCTTTGGGGGTCCAAACCCTAAACCCTAAACCCTAAACCCTAAACCCAAACACTGAGCTATGTATGCAATCAACTGCGGAAGAAAAAGCCTTGCCATGCCACTCGTGGATCACATTCGGCATCAAATGGGATCACCAAAATGGAAACCCTAGGTCCCTTTTAAAGGGGGTATATAGGGAACCCTAGGTCCCTTTTAAAGGGGGTATATAGGGATATTACCCCCCAACAATGGAGAATCAA